CTCCATTATGTAGACGCGAAACCAAATCTCCGCACGTCTTAAAATTTTTAGATCTCGTTTGCGCAACCTTACTAACAGCTCAATTTTGACAAGAGATGAATGTCTGTCCACGAGCACAGCCTTTGCCGCTCATGCACGTGACAAATCTGCCTATGTCCAAAAAGATAAGTCGGTGCCGGACTTTTTGTCGGTTGTGACGTTAATGGCGAAAAGGAAAGGCCTGCGAGTTCCCTAAGAACCGCGTTGAGAAACTTTTTAAATCAACCACACATTTAGGAATGAGCAGCTGTAATTTGATTATCGACCTGCTTTTATGAATCCAGAGGTTAGGTTAGGTTAGGTTAGGTTAGGATTAGGTTAGGTAACCTAACTTAACCTTATAAACTTTCTTATAAAGTTTCTAATACTCTTTGTACCCAATCTTACCATATATGTATGTTAGACTTAGACGAAACGCACACTAAGTAATTAAGATTTACATATTTCACGGGCGAATTGCTCAATTAACCGGATCCGTGTACTAAAATAGACGAACAACGGACAGAGTTTCGACACCAGTGTTTTTTTTTCTGGTGAAATCAGACAAAACGCGCGAAAGTGAAATAGTTTGTCGTTACCGTGCAAAAGTGGATAACGCCTCTTGAAACTGAACAGGCCAGCCAGTCAAATTACTGCCAGCTGCAAAATTCAGACTTCACTGTCAATATTTGATCATATCCGTACACGAAATACGGACGGCACATTCGAAAGTGAAATTAAAAACTCAATGAGCATGCACACACACGTGCCTACCGCCGTTTCCGTTGGACGGAGATATAACGACCACTACCAGTTTCGTGCCACTTTAAAGCATGAAATATTTAATTTCACACGCTTCAAACGGTGAATATCAAACAAGCTTTAAATGATTCATGCAACATGGAACTATCTTCCCTTGCAGGTACTCCACCCACGTTATAATTTCACGAGAGTTTCAAAAACCACAATTAGGAGCTTAAATGTGTTATCAATGTTTCGCGTAGGAACTGTCCTCGTTAATATTTTACAATCTTATGAAACGAATACGGTTGCGTTAAACGAGTTTGCAGTTAGAAAAAGATAATTTTTATTCGGTTTTGAAGCGGAACCGAGATGATGATCATTACGCTGGATGAATTTTGCTCTTGTTGCCGAGCAGTAGGTCTATTACAAAACTGTGACAGGTGTTATCGCGCAATTATTACGAACATACTTAGCCGACGTTTTTGTTTCATCGTCGCGCCGTTTCTTAAAGTGTTTCAATTTCTAAAATGTCGAAACAGTCTGCAATTCGAGGATTTGTACGCGATGCGTTAAACAGAAAACAGAGAAGGTCTATCGGGGTAATAATTACTGTATCGACAGCAATTACAACTAGTGAAACTCTTATTATCGGTCATAGTAAGCGTTGCGAAATGACGACCGTTAAATTGATACCGAAACCGGAAGCATTGTCAAGTACAAGCGCGATGGTTAAAACAATTGTTTAAAATGTGTTCACTGTTAGGACAAAAATAAAACGTAGTCGAATATCTTTAACGAGCATGAAGTTCGACACGCGCAGCAAGAAGAAATTCAACGAACAAGTTCTTCACTTAATCGGTATAAAGTTTGCACACCGACAGACGTTTTTACATTTCTGAATAGCGTGCAAGTAAGAAACTGCTTCCTTTCGTAAACACTCGCAAGCACTCTGGAAACTTTCCGCGTTAAGCAATCCGTGTTGCCGCTGTAGGAACGGCGGCGTGCCGTGCAGCGCAGCGCCGTGAAAAACGGCGTGCAAAGGCGGCAATTGCGACAGAGCCTGTTTCGAGATTCACTTAATCGCTGGGCCTTGGGGGCCTAGACCCAGTTACTCGAATTGCATTAGATGCTTCGCTCGAATCGTCCTCCTATTTAATCGTTGCCAGAATGTAAAAATTATTTTCTAATCTTATGATCACTTTCAGGCCGATAAACGAACTTCTCTGTGAAACTTATACAACGAAAGTGAATAAAAATCTGACAGAAAAAAAGAATCCCCTAATTCGACGTATTTTAGAAAACGATGACTACGTGTGTACGTCGCGAATTTCGTTATTGCACAAATGCATGCGTGTAAAAACAGTTTGCCTAATCGATCGTTTAACGTGGACGCTATCACGTGGTACCGATATAATCAAAATTAACGGTGTAACGCGGTCATCGCGTAACTGATATACATGTTATGAAAACATAGAAGAAGGTATTTGGCAACTTGATGAGTTAGAGCGATGGAAGAATTTGTGAAGACAGCAAACAGTATCGACTCATCGTTTCACGGTGTGTAATAAGGTGAAGTTCGTAGGAGCGTGATGCGAAAACGCTCGGACGAGAATGAGAACGGGTTTGTCCGAGGCTCGCCGAAAGGGAATCGTACCGCGCCGAAGCGCAAACCTGCTGTAAATACACGCGTTCGCGTGTAAACCACTTTTGATGTATGTATCGCACACTCCGCGCGCGAAGAAATTGAATGAGAGATACCTGACTCGAAAATACATTTTAGAGAGCAGATAATGAATTTCAGAATCCACATATAAATTGATTCAGCAATAAAATAAAATTCGCTTTTTTTTTACAAAGTATATAATTTAAAAATAGTTCAAGAATGCACGAAAATAGTGAAAGACATAGCAGACTCTTTTGGACATGATGAACAGATATTTGTTAAGTAAATCAATAGCACAGCACCCATATTTTAAATTCTACGCTAAAGTAGTATGTGTTTATATCCCGATAATATTTCTTTGGTACCTGTGAATATCTATGGACGCCACGATCACATACATTGCACAACTGAGCATCGAAATCTACTTGGGTGCATATACAATTGTGCTTTCGTTCTTTCACCTTCTACATGAAAATCGCGATGATGCCCGCATGCAACGCTTTTACCTTCAGAAACTGAGCACCCATATAGTTGATCAAATAAAATCTGTTTACGTAATGATACGAAATTACTTTATACTTGTTTCTCACAGTTACCAGTCAATAATGCGAAGCATTTCAAACGAAAAGAAAGAAAAATAATAGTACTTTTCATAACACGAGGCCGAAAACGACCATTTTCGGCGCCTATAAAGTGGACCGAAAATAGAGTTTTCCCGCCCGGCGTAAGCTCGATTTTACCGCCCTAGGGCGGGAAAACTCTATTTTCAATCCGCTTTGTAGGCGACGAAAGATGGTCTTTTTCGGCCTCGTGTTATGAAAATATAATTTTAGTGATCCACGAGTGCGAATACCAATACTATTCTCGTTTTGATTTCTAACTGATTAGTAGAGAACGTGTAAAGCTTGAAACAAATATAAGAAAAAGTAATCGCGCGGTAGAATATTGTCACAATTCAAATAAAACTCACCTTCAAGTTTCATGCCAACTTCGAGGCACTTCTGAAAACGGCAGTAGGGACACCGCTTCCTTTGCGTTTTGTCGATGTGACAGGACCTCTCGGCAACACACGTGTAGACCTTCTTGTTTTGGACGGTGCGCTTGAAGAAACCCTTGCAGGATTCGCAGGTAAGTAGCCCGTAGTGGTACCCGGATACCTTGTCGCCGCAGACCGGACAGAATTCTTCTATGATGATGATGTCCTTGGTGTCGGGGAACTCAGACGGGCAGGGTATCGAACCGGTGACGACGCCAACCCCGACCTGACCCAATCCAGGATGACATAGGGTACCAGTTGGTAATGAATACGTAGTAGTCGTCGGTATGGTTGGTTGGGCGACATTGCCGCTTACCGTAGCGGAGCTGCCGCCGCTTCCGGCGTCTCCGGACGCGCCACCACCGCTACCACCGCCGCCAGCAGCGGCGTTTCCTGCGGTGGGCCCACTGCCGCCAGGGGCACCCGCGCCACCAGCACCGCTCGCTCCCCCGGAACCGGCGCCACCGCCGCCGGCACTGTAACTGCTGCCGCTACTCTCGAGGGCCGTTGACGTGCCGCAGCCACCCCCGGCACCGTTCGCCGCGCCATTGTTGCCTCCGTTACCTCCGGTGCCGCTCCCGGCTCCTGTTGGGGAGAAGAGACACGTGTACACCTTCTTGTTGACGCAAGATCCGATCTCGAGTGCCGATGATGGGACGCAGCAACCGTTGTTACCGTTGCCGCTGTTTCCACCGCCGCTTCCGCTACCACTGCCACCGCCACCGCCGCCGCCTCCGCCGCCTCCCCCACCTCCCGTTGGCGAGAACAAGCACGTGTATACTTTCTTGTTACTGCACGGCGAATTGTTTCGTTTGAAGAACCCTTTACACGACTCGCACGTCAGCAGGCCGTATTGATAGCCGGACATTTTATCGCCGCACATCGGACATCTTTCCTCCAGAGCGGTCGAATCGAAGAACGCAGCGTCGAAACTGGAGATCCCACCCTGCGTGTGAGCCTGTTGACCGTGTATCGACAATTGTTGCTGTTGCTGCGGTTGCTGCTGCGACTGGGACTGGTGACACATGGTCGTAGGTGGACTTTGAGCGCAATTGCCGTACGGCGAGGAACCGTATTGCGGTTGCTGTTGCTGCGCCTGCTGCTGCTGCTGCTGGCCGGCACCGGCAGCATGTTGGGGACTACCCTGAGGGCTTATGTGGAACGGCGACATATTCAGTGATATCAGGCCTGAATGCTGCTCCATCTCCAATAACATATCACCCTTGCGCAAGTACCGCACGGAGGAACGTGCTTGTTGCGTATCGGTTCATATATGAATTGTTTGATGGGACCGATTTTAGACACGGTGGTGGGTAGGTACGATGGATGCAGTTGTTCCTGTGGCGCGTAAATGCGACAGAACAGCGGCGGTTTTTTATTCTCTCTTTCCAGTTGCAGTGCGTAACGGTGCACGTCGCTCAAGGTCGTAGTACTCGCGTGTACTATGGTACAACCGGCTGCGTATGATGTTGTCAGTAACACTGATGATACGACGACAACGACGACGACGACGACGACGACGGCGACGACGACGACGACGACGATGATGATGACGACGACGACGACGACGACGACGACGACGAGGATGACGATAACGACGACATATAGCTCCGAGAGCAAACACACTGTTATATATTCCCTTGGCACGGATGTTTAATATCGATCACCAGTCACGTTTTTCTACGGCACATGTTTACGAAAAAAACCATCGCGCACCACCGCAGATAATGAATTTCCCTTTTCAACGATGTTACTACGTCCGAACCATTGTAATGTAACGAAATGTGCGTTCGCCGGCGTTGCGTGAAAAAAAATTGTTGCTTGTCACTGTTGCATGCCTTTTCGCTACGTCTTCGTAATTGCTCGCGGAACCACAATTTGTATCTTTCTCCGAGCCCGACCACTGATAGCAGAGAATGTGACACGGAGCGTATAACAACGATCACACACGAGGTTCGAACTGACCGTCCACGCGAGGCGGTGAACAATTTCGATCTGGATCACCGACGCGGAGGAAACAATCGGATCGTTGTTTCATGAGACGCGCGAATTGCTGGTAACGTTATCGAACGATCACACATGCGCGGAGGCGAGATTTAAGTTTGAGTCACGGCGTTTGACACAAAATAATCGGCACGGTGTATTGTTAGACAGGGTAAGCCGGATACGAGTAAACGCACACACACTGCAATCCAAATATATATGTATGTATCCGTGACGAAAAGACGGGGGATGCTTGAAGTCCGACGACGGCGAGAAGGTAGACAACTACCGTGGACAAGAACGAGAAAGAGAGAGATAATCGTCCAGTTGTCAGATCATACGACTTGACAGTGTGACTATCTGCGTACGACTAGTTGTCTTCTTGCCTCGTTGCTTTCCCGAAGGGCCCGCCCCCTCCCCTCGGCCGCCCTACCGTCGACATATGGAGGTAGGTAGTGTCGGGAGACCGTCTCGTGAGACACGGCACACGTCACATATATCACAGTGGCAAAAAACGACGACGATCACGAGTGGTGAACGCGAAAAAAGAGCGCGAGCTGCATCGACTATTTTCACGTTCTCCCTTTCGATCCACGCCCGACTGGCCCCCCCGTGAACAGATATCAGATATTCCGTTGCGTCGATGATAAATACAACACAGGCTGTTGCGGACACTCCACGCGTCAACGGCGGCGGTAACACGATTTACAAAACGAATTACGGCACGACATGGGCACTCTCTGGTTGACGCGGTATAACGCGGTATAACGCGGCGACGCGCTTTGCCCGGTGTATAACACAGATACGCGCTTCACCGTGACACCGTCCGGAGTAAAATAAAATTGGCAGAACCGGGAGAACGGCGAGAGGCGCGCACACACCACCGTCGCGCGTCAGACTCCCTTGGCTTGTTTCGGTGGTTAATAGAGTAGAGGAGAGGAGAGAAGGAGAGCGCACGCGTCCCTTTACCGACGGCCACGGGTCGAGTGCGGGACCAGGAGCAAGAGCGAGAGAGAAACGTTCTGGCGTATAACCAACACAGCGCACGGCATAAGTGAAAGTGATTCAGCAGCGCATGCCACCGCGCGCGGCCAGGTGCCCAGCGGAGAGTAGCGGAGGTGCCTCCGAGAGCTTCGACGATGGTGGGAGTCGAGTAACACGCGGTGCTCGGAGAGGAGAGGGACCGAGAGAGGAATAGAAGGAGGGAAGCGGGGTAACTCGGGAGGTATTGCCGTGGTCGAAGGGATCGACGGAGGAGGGAAGAAGGAGGTTGCACACAGCCGAAGGCGGGGATGACCTACTTACGGAACCAGGTCTATGTCGGCCGCAGAAGTATTGTCCTCGTGCGCTCCCGCGCCGGTCTACCGCCCGTTGCCCGCCGTCGTTTTGTCGACCGTATTTGTCGTCGATGCTGCCGGCGAACACATATCCCCGACGCCTTGACGCACGTGTGCCATCAGCCCGCACCAGTTCCCGATTTTACAGATCGATAGGATTTTATCAACTTCGCTCGCGTAACGAGGAATTCGCTTAAGAATTCGCTCGACGACCAATCAAATACATATCTAAAATCGTTCGAAGATCTTTTCAAAAGATGGTTTAACTATTTACCTCTAAATACGTGAGGAAAAATAAATTTTCAATTGACTCGTAGAATGTAGTTTACTCCGTAACGATTAAGCGTTAAAGTTACTCCCATTTTTTTTCCCGTCACGCGCGAGGAAGATCAAATGGACGCCTCGAGCCCGCGAACAACTCTTGCTTTCAAAGAGCACACAGGGGAGCCAAACAGAGAGAAGTCGCGGTAAGCGGGCACAGGGCAGGCGCACAGGCCACATACAGGCCGTGGCTGGGTCAACAGTAACGCCGTTGGCACTCCCCGACAGTGCCAGTGCTTCTCTCTATGTGTAAGTCGCAGTAGATGTACGACGAGGAGCGGTGGGGAGACCCACTGACCCAGTTCGGGAACATGACGCAGTCGCGACTCACTCCCTCTCATTATGTCTTTCTCCCTCCATCCCCGTCTCTCCCGTACCTTCTCGCACCCTTGTCCAACCACCTAGCGCATCCCACCCTCGCAACTAATAGCTTCCATCTCTCTCTTTCTCTCTCTTTGTCTCTCTCTCTCTTTGCTCCTCCTCTTGTTCCCTCACCTAGATCCTGTGATGTTCCGTCACCCTAAACACGTACTTGTCTTCTTCTTTCCTTTCCTTGCACCCCTCATTTTCTTCTTTCTTTTCCTTGCACCCTGTTTTTCTTCTTCCTTTAACCTTAACCCATTCTTCTCTATTTCTCTCTCTCTTTCTCTCTCTCTCCTGTTCTTACCCTTGCTTCCTCTTTTTCTAGCCATGCCTATCGAGCATTATCTTTACTCTCTTGGTCGAACGCGAACCACACGACGCGTTTCTTTTTCTAACGTTATACACGTCCCTCCCTTCTAAAGAGTCTTGCGCTTGTACACGTTCCATACGTAATTGTCGCGCTCTTTTCCGTGCAAGTAACCGTGCGCGCCTGCTGTAATAGCGCATACATTTGCTCGTCGTGGGGCATATGTATACATATACGTATACATGCAACAACCGTGCACACGCACGCATGCACGCGGCGTACGACGTGTCGTGTCATCGATGAATGCACGCGGTAACTCACAATTACAACCGCGTTGTCGTCATCGTCGTTGTCGTCGTATCCAGTGCACAGAGACTAGGTGCATTACATATGATTTCTCGAATTCGGGCTATTTATTTTGAAACAAATTCAGTGATCGTTATCTTGCTCGAATCGTTAATCGAATTTTCTGTAAATGTATAAAATATTCATATCTTGAAGCCAACTTGATCACATCGGTTTTATAGATTCGAACACGATGTTATCATTTAACTTAAAAATATTCACAGTTCATGTGTGTGTTTAATTATATGAAATAGTAAAGCAAGTAAGCATGGTAGAAATTGCGCTTATATCAACGAATTACAACATAGCACGTGGAAGGAGAAGTAAATGTATATAAGAGAGATGAAAGTAAAATGTAGCGAAATATAGCGAAAGCCGCTGCTCTCACAGTTAAATGTTAATTACGAAGCTTAACAAAGAAAGCTTGCTCTGTTAATCGCTCGTCGGAAAAGTGATGGAGCGAAATCGGAAGTGACACCTGCTGCTGAATTTCCCTTTAGGAAACNCCGTCTCTCAGACGCTCTGTCGTTTATGCAACAAGTGTGCCGAACCTGTTAGCGATTCCCTTCGAAGCTAAAACCGTTTAGTACTAAATAAATACAATTATTTGTACTAACGTTCATACGAATTCTTAGAAAAATATAACAAATTTGTTATTACCGTTTGAGGACACAAATAAAAAAAATCTAGAACTGATACGTTAAATGTTCCTAACTATTACGAAATTCCTAATATAAGTGAGAAATAATTGAATTTTTGTTTATTGTATGCCATATCATAAAGTTTAATAATATTATATTTTATTTGCAAGAGTTAAGCTATTTCATTCTTGTACATACGACCTTCATTTTAACATGTACTTCATTTTGGTAACTGTAATTCTCTAAGTGACCAGCGAATCCCAGCTGATCCCTGTTTGTAAGAATGACCCAGGTAACCATCCCTCCCTCTGTCACTTCGCTACCTCTTACTCCGATCGTATTTTTTCCGGAAGTATTGTTTTAAAATTCCCAAGTTTTTCCTTGTTCTCTATTCTCAGGTATCCAGAAATAACTCAGGGTACTCTCCTGAATACAATGGTACCCAAAAGTCGACCTTAATAATTTACTTCGTCCTCACTTAATAAAATGCATTATTAAAACGCCGTAATTTCTTAACGCGGCAACAATGATTGATGACATTAGACCTATTTTACGCTCATGGTTGTTACAATTTAAAATTAAAAGATAACGTATTATTATCAGAATACTAAGTATCATGGGAAAAGTAAATTCATCACTTTTGAGAAGTGCAAATCCAAAGTCAGACAATAGAAATCATAGGATTAAACCTACATCCTGTTTCTCCATTGTGCCGCATCAAAACGCGGGTCTACGCACTTTTTGTTGTTTTGTTCCTTCAGGTGCAAATCGGAAAAACGCTGGTACCTGCGCCGGTATATTTGTCCTTGTGTTGTAGGCACGATCATCGCGCAACGCATGCGATTTTATTTCCACCGGCGCATTGAGAAAGAATAAAGAGGTCGAGCCTCTCTGTGTTCCATTGCGTGTCACGTTAAATCACGATCATCGCCGTGTGACGGTAAAAACCGAATTGTGGAGAGGAAGAATAAAAAGAGACAGAGAGAGCGATCGAACGAAAGGGAAAAGGGACGCAGTGCGCTTCGAGCCAGTCGAAAGGGCGGAAGAACCGACGAAAGAAAGTGAAAGCTGTGACCCAGAAACTCTGGAAATGTAAATGGCGCGCACCGATATGTTCGGGAATTATAAATCATTATACAAAGGTTCTATACGATTTCGTCACGCGACAAGCCGACGATTTCGTTAGATTCCGAACGGAAACGAGAGAGCCACCGTAGTAATTCTAACCAGAAGAATTACGAAAATTACTTATCGAATCAACGCTTGACGACATCGTCGTTGAATGTGACTTACATGTTACTGAAAGTGTATGTGTCTCGTAGCTCCTTCGATCTTCTCACACGTTGACGACAATACGAAGTTGTCTGATATAATAATGGAAGAACGAACACGATAACGACTGAGTTACGACGGCAAGGTTGAAAAAGTGCGAGTCCTTTACCCGTATAGACTGAAATTATGCGACCATTATCGGCATTACGCTATTTCTGGGTCAATTAGCATCACGCTGATCCTTAAAACACCCGTCGCGTCGTAGACGACGCAGGTAGCGCGCGAACGCACGCGGGATTGCAGCGAGGCGTTACCCACTATCGGAAGTAATTTATTCGCCGCGAGACACGCAGCTTCATAGACGAAATTCTATTTGCTCGACGCATGCTTCTTTCTCCATTTAACGACAGTCAAGACTTTTGATTATGTACAATAAGTCACTAAGAATTGTCACCCTTGTACAAACAATTTACGACTAGCTTCCGTTGCACGTGGCCCCATAAAATCGTTTGAAGTGTCTGTATATTCTATTATAAAACCTTGAGGTAACGAATAATAAATTTCAAAATAAAAGAAAGAGAGAGAGAGAGAGGAAAAAATCTCAAATTCAAATTTCGTATTATGCATTTTGTTGTTCCAGAAATGTTCAATTGTATGTTTCGTATGGCATGTATAAGCGTACGTGGTTTATTTCCGTCAGATTGCCCAGTAAATTTGGAGTAGGAATTTTCTTTTCAAAGGAAACGAACAGTATCAGATCGAAGATGAAATGTTATTACAATGAGCATATTAAGGTCAACCTATCTCCCGTCGAAGAATAAAAAAAAAAAAAAAGGGAACTATCTAGTACATGTCTTTATCGTCTTCTAGCGTGCGATTACTATCTCGATATTAGCTATGCAGGTATGGTATCTGTAACTCGTAATATTCGTCGCAAAGAATATGAGCCCGGTGTGATCCCTCTCTCGTCTACTCTTTCTCTCTATCTATCTCTTTCATTCCTCCCTCTCCCTCTTTCTTTCTCTCTTTTTCTCTCTTACTCTGAGCAACGTGTCTCGGTGTGTGAAGTGTGCCAAGGACCACCCCACTCCGCAATCCCATTTTCGAAACTAAAAGTAAAATCTAACTCATTGTGCTGCGTTACACACGCATAACGCTTATACATACACAAATGTAGAGAGAGAGAGAGAGAGACGGTTGCCGTAATGTAATATATATTTTTGTCATACCAGCCGAAACTATCTAATTCATTTAGGGCGACGTGTGCGCAATGACAAAGACACGCGGCGCTATGAAAATTTCCTAGCGTAGGTACCATGGGGATCGGATTCATGAAGTTTCCACATTACTTTCGCGGGGATCCACAGTGGACGCGCATAAGACCGCGCCAAAGGAGCTTAACTCATCGCACAGGTGGGTGGCGATATTTTTGATATCCCTCGATCGAACTTTCAGCCTCTTCTTTTCGTTCTCGTTCTAGCAAAAGTATGGAGGCTCAAGTTTCATCGCCGGAGGGATAAAAGCGACGAGGATTTATCAAATCGCCCTCTATCCTTTGTCGCAGGTAGAACGGGAAATTAATCATAAAATAATAAGAGAGACTAATAGACGTCTAGGAGGAGAGAGAAAGATTGTTTCATCCACGAAACGCGGACTGGCGTTTTACAGGCCAGTTCGCACGTCCTTGACACACTTACCCACATAGGATATCGCGAGACTACGTGTAACTGTATGTGCATTAACGTGCATGCGCATGTACTCACACACACACACGCTGCGATCGTATAGACGCACAGGCGCAGAGGCTCACGGATATATACGATCTTGTGCATATGTACGGATATACGCGATCGTGTGCAAATGCACAGGCTGTCTTGCATGCGCATTTATGTGTGTCCCGACGCACAGACGCATCACATGAATAGGCATATATGTCATACATATAGGTATACATAGAAAACCATATGACGACAATGAAGATGTGAAGTTGCGCGCGTGGATCCATAGAGTTCTACGGCAAAGGACGCGTAGACCAGTTTCTCTGTAGAGGTGCAAGGATGTTATCCCTCTTGCGTGTGCGCATGCATCCGTGAACGGCCATGTATACATATACCCCAGACCATCCTCTCAGTGCTCGTCGGCACCCATTTTTATTACCTTGCAACTGGGACGCGTGATGGAATCCGAAATGGATCTTAAACCGTAAACGTGCGGGGAGCAAACAAAAAATGTGAAGATTTGTCATGGTTACGTTTCGGCACAGAGAATTAGCTTGTTCGGATAAGAACTTCTCCGAAAGTTTTACAATCTTTTCCCAGATATAAATGATAGATAAAAAAGACAGAAAAGGAAAGCTCTTTTTCCAACGTGTTTCATATCCTATTAAACAATTAATTTCTAACGAATGTTCCTATTAAGTATCTTTCATATTGATGTCTCAAGGTATTGAATAATACTGAAAATGCAGTAACGCCTTGCGAACAAGGAACGAAATAGAGGAAGAACGGAAATACCTGAAACTTTTTCCCTGGCAATCCTGAAAATCACCGAACCGACATTTCTTCACCTAAGGGTGAGTCATAAATTAAGAAAGGATAAATATTTGGAAACATTGTCAAGAATTATTGCGTGCAATCTTCAACTTCAACGGAAATTCTCAGTGACCCACTGCCCTAAGAATGACAACCGTGCAACACACTGGTCAAAATTTCTCTTAACGAATCGAATCGCTGTAAAAGTCATCTCCTTAGGTGGTTCCTTGTAAAAGAAGAAAGGCGAACTTTAGTGAACTATAAAGTTAAGGATGTCCATTTCCTGACGATCGATGTTTTCGGAAATTGTGTTGGAGTCACGTAATTATTGCGTGCAATCTTCAACGGAAATTCTCGGTGACCCACTGCCCTAAGAATGACAACCGTGCAACACACTGGTCAAAACTTCTCTTGATGAATTGAATCGCTGTAAACGTTATCTCCTTAGTTGGTTCCTTGTAAAAGAAGAAAGGCGAACTTTAGTGAACCATAAAGTTAAGGATGTCCATTTCGTGACGATCGATGTTTTCGGAAATTGCGTAGACCTTATTCATAAAGATTGAAGATCGAAGAAAAACCAGTTTCTCTTCGGTACATCCCTACCGAAGACGCACTATCAAAGATTCGAAGTACGGGAAACGACATAGGGACGTGAGAGAAATACTTTGCACCAGTCGTAT